TTACAGGTGCTAGGCGTTATTCCTATAATAGGCACGAAGGATTTACAACTACTGTATACAAATGTATAATAAAAGAGTTGAATTTTACCATGAAGTTGACATGACATTGAAGAGAAAAATGTGACATTGAATAAAAATTTTATTCGTTACCTTTTCTAAGTATCTTTCATAATGACCATGGAACAAACGAGTCTTAAGTAAACCTTACAGTATGGAACTATCAATAAAAACATATTTGGTAAATAAGAAAAAGATATAAGCATATCGCCATAAGCATATATAGAAATACATAGACATGTACCATCTCTAACAAAAGCCTGATCCATAATCGACAAGTTCATCACAAAGCGAATGTAGTCGTCCGACCATAGAGCTATGCTGCTTGACAGCCAATATTCAGGTGATCCGATAAAGCCGGCTCTCCTCTTTTGTTTCACCGTGTCAATCACTCCTACTCCATCACCGTGAACCAAATTCCCTTTTAAAAAAGAATCTGGGAGTGAATTCGCAAAGTTGATTACTGGTCGACTGTTTCAAGTGGCGATGTGATCGAATATTGATGGATACTGGATACAAATTTACAAACTATATTTTGGGGAGTGAAACTACCATATAGTATCTACATTATACTAACAGGAAATAGCTATATAGATTTTTTTGTGTCCTTATTGTATAACTGGCTAAAATATTAACTCACAAAAGTGATACCTTCGGAACCTACTAAAATCATACTTAATCAGTTAGGTAAACTTAGTAGTAACTTATACACAGGTTATTACAATTTAAACTGAACTCATTCTCTAATTAACTTAATGATTAACGATTGTTTGAAAATCATTAAGTACCGGAAAAGTATAGAACCTTTAAAGTACCAGGAGCCAAGAAATGTGTAGGAAGTTTAATTAGCTATTGAATCATAAGGTAAATCGATAGAAAACACTACAAAGAAATAATTAAAAGCCCTTTACACGAGCTGTTCTAAGTTAAAGTTGCGTTTCCATATTGTGACGTAAGGACGTTTCTTTTTTTATGATTTTTCTAAGAATAAAGATATTCTTGTAGTATGTGAGATAATTTATTTAGATTTATAGTTGTTCTAGAAGCAACGTAATACTAATTCGATAGTGCACCAACTATGCGTAGTTTCTCCTTATAACTAAAATATCCAGTCTGACTTATAACTAAAATATTTCTAGCATGTCTGCATAAATCTTCAACTGAGATCTGAAGCTTTTGAACTCGAAAGGTATCATGACTTGCACAAAGAAATATTCCCTAAGAAAATCCAAACAGTTTTTGCCTATCTACTCAACGCTCACAAGAAATCCATTTGGAATTCGTTCACGTACATCAGCTAAGGGTATTTCCACCCTGATCGTTGGAGTACAGTTGTTATCATCATATTGAGTCTTATTGTTCTGCATGGTATTTATTGTTCTGCATGGTGATATAGTAGAAAACATTATTGTCGCTCGCTCTATTTTTATGTAGAGGAAGCCCAAGACCCAAAGTTCAGCAGTGGACTCTTGGAAACCGTTGATGAAGCAAGAAGAACCACTGAATTTATTTTTGCAAATCGGCTACAAATCAGTACTTTTTTTAAGGGGGAAATCATCGAATGACTGCTCCCGCCTGGGTGAGGCGGGAGGGAGTGTCAGACTCTTACTGACTAAAAACCACCCCGTTCCTTCTCCTGCACATTAGCCGGAGTCCCGGTAACTGGCCACTCTGATAAGAAATGCCGAAACAAACTCAGAAGTCCATGTGTATTCAAATTTCAAAGCTCACACGAAATTCATTCATTGGTTCACGCTTCAGTACTACCAAAGGGTTTCTCAATACCAAATCGTTGGAATACAATCTTCGTCATTGCGTTGACCCCCCATAAACACTGTTTTGGTCTTTAGCTGTTTTATTACATCCATATTTAAGTTTTTAGTACCCATATTACCAATTAATGGCTAGCACGGCGAGACAACGCCAACGGAAGACATTATTGTAAGCATGATAAATCTTTGTCTTTAAACCATAGTTTATCATTAGATATTCCCAGAACGACAAGTAAATCAAATTAATTAATTTATTGTTAATTGGGGTATGATGATAAAATATTTAATTAAAAAAAACACATAAATTATTAATATAGTGAGCTGAAAGAATTTGTAGAAAATATATGCTATTCCAAAAACCAGAGAGCTCTACTTCTATGATGGTTAGATAGGCACCGTATTCTATAAAACAGAAGTGTGCCTATCATTAACTAAGGAAATTGTTGTTTACCGCAAAAATAAATTTAGAATTTCCTCACATCGAAATCATATGTAATTTACGGCTATTTCCTCCAGGCTGTGCGGGCTGAGTAAGTGCAGGGACGCAGCAAATAAGATAGAAATTTATGGAAATGAGGCTGTATAGGCAACAACACGCAAAAGTATTGCGCATTACTTATGCGCCGTCGCTTTTGCAGCTGCCCTGTATATACCCAGTAATACTGAACACCCTGTATTTCAGCAATGACGCAATACCGCCGGAATAAAAATCTTTTTTCCGAACAAAATTCTAATATTGAAACGCTATTTTTTCGTTCTAAAAAATATGAATAAAACTACGTTCAATATTGGTGATGTTATAGAAATCTGAACAGCAATATCCTATTCCGATTCGATTCGATTCAAATTCGAAAAGATTAAAAACAGAGGCGCGCTGTTTTTTTTTTATTCTTCCATTTGGAACTTCTTCGTAGCTTATAAAGTAAAACTGGTGTAAGTTAGAAATAAAACTCGTCAGAATTAAATTGAAATCTTTGACGAAAGTTCTAGAATATTGTTGTACCTCCCATTCCCGACACACCCTTGTAGTGTGCCACTAAAGTTGAATGCCCTTTCGTACTTTAATTGATTTTATAAGTCTACTTACGAACAAAATAAGAAGCCAGACAAGTTGCTTTTGTTCGAATTACTTGAAGTTGTATCGTAGACTTCGGTTCAGCAAATAAATTTTAACAGTTTATATAGTTTATAGGTTTTTTTTAGATTTTTTTTATTTTATACGAATTTCATTATGGTCTTTTAATTTATCACTTTGTTTTGTGTAGAGATGTTTTTAGTACAGTTACCATTTGTCATATGAAGCAATAATGTTACCTAGCTAACCATACACACTTCACTACATAGTAGAGGTATAAAACAAAGTCTATATCCGCCGTCTGTCTGTCCCTATATATGCTTAGATCATTAAAACTACGCAACGGATTTTGATGCGGTTTTTTTAAATAGATAGAGTGATTCTTAAGGAACGTTTATATGTATAATATATGCACATTGCACCCGTGCGAAGCCGGGGCGGGTCATATTATAAATGTGTTTCTTTGTTAGGCTGTTTGTCCGTCAATCACGCTGAACTACAGTACGGATTTTGATGAAATTTGGTATACAGGCAGGATATTCATAGTCTTAAGGACCTTCTTAATCCCTTACCCATAGAAATAAAAATGTGAAACATTCAAGAAGAAATTTTATTGACTCCGATAAAAAAAATTAAATCATATTACAGTCTTTTCGGTTCAATAGCATGTCAAAGAATAGTTATAAACGTACCTAAACTGACCTAAATCGATAATAGTTGAGTAAATTCGACCATAATGTTCTTCCATACATTTTATATGAAAGGCCACATTAAAAAAGCCGACGGGAGTCGCTCGTAAACCGTTGATCCAAGTCCGATTGTCCTTTATTTCTGTGCGCTACTATTTTGTTTTATTGATCGTATAACTTTCAAGCAATTAATCAACCGCTGAACAGCTAATGTATTAGGTACATACATAATGTAATGTTTTAGCGTGCAGCGCTGAATGCGCTTTAATTAGCACGAGTACTAGGAACGGTACATGCATTTTAGATGTTCGAATCTGTTGAGACCTTAGATTGTTATTTTATTTTTTGGTGTTTTCTAGTTTTTATTTAATCAGTAAGCCATTGATATGTTAAGTAAAGGGTAGATAGTTAAATAAAATCTGTTTCAGTGTCTCGTTATCGTTTTCCTATTAATCAAATGATGTTTTTTGCAAAACCAAGATTTACAAATGTGTATTATGTAACTTAAACAGAAAATAATTATTAAATGCATTTCTCTTTTGGTTAAAAACAAGCTTATTTATAGAAATACCCATAAGATGTTTTTTCGCCTTAATTGCACATTATTCTAGTTTTTCATCATTGAGAGATCTTATTAATCGACCTCTTTAGGACGAAATATTTCCCAATAGTTTACGAAAACAGATTCATATGATTAAACCTATGGTAACCCAAGTAAATTATGTTCTACCAACCTACTATTGAAGAGGTGATTCACTTTTCAATCTATTTCCAGAGAAATGACTAAAGAAAGTCATAAAAGTATTTTTATGACATCCGCAAGTCCAAACCGTTCATGATGTCTAGATTTTATTGCCGTTTATTATTCTTAACTACGGCAAACTGCTAAAAAGCACCTTTATTCCGCCATAAAAAGATTTTCTTTTGAATATCTTTGAATCAATTAATATTGGCATGGTATTGCATAATAATATTTATTTTCCTTGCTCTCTTTTCTTCTTCGTGTCTCAAACCTAGAAATCTCGGACATTTATAAAAAGAACTGCCGCATAAACAAATACACACGGCTCCTCATTCACGTACGTATCTGAAAACATTCTTATACGCTAAAACTTACAACCAAAAAACGCAAAACAAAGTTGAACACACTTATCTAAGACCCAATAGACGTTACGCAACTCAATAAATAAATCATCCATCGAAAAACTGTAAGAAAATGCTAACGAAAACAACTTTTACGGCGTCTATAAGAACGGGCTTCTTTCAGTCAGCCACTATTTTACACCCGCCTTGAAAACATTACCGAACACATTCAATCGATTTTCGACTTAGTGTCCTCGGCACGATGCCGGCGGCACACGTACAAATTAATTCATACAAGATCTTCCATTCAAGCCTTTATCTTACCTGTCCAGCATGGAGCACGTCCAAAAATATGGTAAATACACTTATAAAAAGCACGGCGCGCGTCATTTCTGCGGCCGCGTTGCGTTCTTATACCGGACTGGCGAGAGCTGACGTTTGTGCCAGACGCCAGAAACCTGCGTACTAGTCGTGGTACGGCACTGTAGCCGTACCTAGCGTCGTATAGATCGACCCTCCCGGGTGTGACAGAGACGGCACACGCTCAGCAGCAAGCCCGACAGAGACGCAAGAGGGAGGATAACGCACGCGCAATGCTGTAAACGCTGCGTACAATGAGGACTCTATCGAAGGGAATCACGAATGCCGTCTTCGTCTGGCTTTGTCTGGATTTCCCGATGATGATGCGTCATTTTTTTCTAATGGATATTTGCACGATATTTTTGATGCAATTCAAAAAATATTGCCGAATATATTTGAAAATCCCCGATGTCACGGAAAATTGTCCCTTAGGGTCATATAAGTTGCACTCGATATTGTTATGGATAAGTTAAGCGTTAGGTAATAAAATGCCCTTTGATACCTGCGCTGAGTCATCAAATACCAGCGTAGGGGGGGACTTAGAGCTTTCACCCCGCTATATTTCTACACTTAGGTGTAGAAAATCGATTGTGTGAGTATGATTCAGCCTTATGTTACAACTTATTTCAATACAAAGTCGCTTAAAGTTAAAAAGTCTACGCGTTGGCTGTTTGAAACGAATATAATTTTTGTTCGTGAATTTTCACGTTCAATAAAAGTTTAGTTGCAAAAATATCTAGATATATTTTAGACAGAATGCGGCCAATGGTCAGCGGATTAAACAAATCGGTACGTACATACATAAAAACTAATAGATACAGTTTCGTAAATATTGAATTTTAGGGAAAATCGAATATTTTTTTACCGATATTATGTTATTTAGGGCTTTCTTCTGACTTTAGCGAGAACAATAATAATAGGACTTTCTGATTAATATAATATTATGTTTGCAAATTTAGCAATAATTTTGTTACCCTTTATTTAACTCGTCGAGTACCGTCATTATAGACACAATTATAGATCAATAGGTTGCGGTCACCGGTGACCGCTTGGTGTTTGACAGTTTAAAACAAACTGTGTTGCCACAATAAATATACTGCGCCCCTTCCCATTGATTACAAAGTCCCCGTGAACATTTCCTTCCTCGATTTAATGTTGATCAAGTCTTCGAAGCTGTGCATTAAACATGCAACACCCCTGGGTCCGCTTGTCATAGATGTAGCTGCTTTAGGTGTAGAAAAGTTCTAAGCTCTAGTTAGACAAAGTGTTATTTAAATACTGTTTCCGAAATTTTTTAATTAAAATGTGTGGTGTATTTTACATACATACATAACTTCACGCCTGTCTCCCATGGGGGTAGGCAGAGACTAGGGAACGCCAATAACTACGATTCCTACATACTTCTTTCGCTTCATCAACAGTCATCAATCTTTTCATGCATACTCGTCAGTTAAGGGTACTTTTAATTTGGCCCTTCTTTAATTTACCCGTAGTTATTGTTTAATTTAATTATTATTTAATGTTTCTGTCATCGCCATACCAGCTTCAAGATGTCTATTGTCTGTCAACGAAATATCACAATGACTTTCAGTTTGAAGTTACCTGCAGCCTGCTTCTCCCTACGACTTCTATTAATTAAATATTTTCTAACTCAGTCTCATTAAGCTCCAGTACAAAAAAAGTCTTTACTTACGCTATATGTTTGCTTGTGTGGACAAAAAATCGTACCAAAGGTCACAAATGCTTATGTTGCTCGTTGTCTACATGATCGCAAGGAACACCCCTATGTTTCACCTCTCACCCCTGTCAGCGGCACGCGTATCAATTTCACTACACCCTGTATCGCCCTGTCTACTGTCCAAGTGTCAAAACTATTCCATTCTGGATTTGTTCATCGAACGCTTTTCCATTCTAGAATTACGGAACACGAATCATATTATATTCTGTAAATAAAAGGTACATACGACACCCTTATTCCATTTTAATAAGACGGTCTTTTTGCCTAATAATTCTAGACTGGAGTCAACAAATTGCTTTATGTTACTAAAAGCAGATCATCGTTGATATAATCCTAATCAGTTTCCAAAATTATTCACAATCACAACTTCACCTTTACAATCCGTTTCGCTACCACATTTCTACTATATCAGACGTCAAATTTAAATCATTACTAGTATTAAATTAATCACTAATTGGACAGAAAATCAAACCACATGAAAGCTTCGGGTTTAAAGGAAAAATTTATAAAACCAGTCACAGGTTCCAATACCTCGAATTTAAGCGTAAAGCGCTTTATTAATTCCGCTTAAATAGCGAAGTTTCGTTTCATAAAATTCATCGGTGAATTCCAGCGGTGTTCATAGCCACCGTGTGATAGATAGCCTATCAGGTGTGGGTACGTTTATGCACTTCAGTGGCAAAGCTGCACTCCGCATGATTGAGTAGCTCGCGTCCGTTTATTGAGCTGGTGGTGGAACCGCATGGAAACTTTGAGCTCATTTTGATTCTGGTTTGCTATGCAATTGCTATAATTTAAGAAATATTGCTGTAGGTAATTTAAGGAATTTTATTATAAATACTATTTAGCTAATATATTTATATACTATTTAGGTGTTTTAGTAAGTACCTAAATAGGTTGATATGAACCGATACGACCTTCAAACCTTCAAAAAAAGAGCGTATCCCTTTTTAAAAGGCCGGCAACGCACCTGTGACTCTTCTGGAGTTGCGGGTGTCCATGGGCGGCGCTGATCGCTTACCATCAGGTGATCTCTGCTCGTTTACATCCTATTCCATAAAAAAAAATTAAGACCCTGTCTTGCACGCGCTGAACTGGTCCTCATCCGCTCATTTCACGGTAGACTTGGGACATGAACATGGCGTGAAATAAAGTTTTTTTTCTTTCTTTCTTTCTATATTACTTAGTATTTCACGGAAAATTCGTAAACGATTCTGGATAAAATATAGTACACGGAAACCCTGACCTAGATTAACATGTAGAATATTTATGTTCCTCGAACAATGTGCCTCGCGGCCAAATGTCGCAACATGAGGATTTTCATCTTGAGTTGAAAAAGGTATAAAAATAGGCATTATAAACTCCATAATTAAGGTTTATAATTAATTGATTAATAACTTTCTTCAAGATTGTACCAAAATGAAGTAGGTTCAGTAGCTAGCACATAGGTCAATTTTTGTCATTGGATTTTCGTCTTTATTAAATCTTAAAGATAGAGTTGAAAATCTAATAAAAAAAATTACAGTTAAGAGTAGGTTAGCTGGACTTGCTGCTCATTGTACATTGTGCTTCACAAAGTCAAAGTCAAAGCATTTATTTCAATTAAACCATAATTTGGTACTTTTGAAACGGCAACAAATACAAAATAAATATAAGTCTGTCAGTCAGTCCGTCAGTGAAGTTAGGTGAAGCTAGGTTCATCTAAATGTTAGTATAATAATAAGTGCTAGCATCTAAAGAGATGTCTTCCGTGTTCGCTACTTCATCAAACATTTTACAAGTCTTTTGTTTAAAGGAAGCTTCCATTAAAACAAAATAGCCTCTGCTTAAAGGTTAAACAATGATATTGTTTTAGACGGTTAACTTCTAACAGATTCACACACACCATTTTCACCTTTATAACATCCTCATAAAGTTCAAAATGTGTTAAAAACATTCACCAGTCTAGAGTATATTGATGTGCCTTCGTCTGTTCTAGGAAACGCTTGACGAATTCTTGGAAAACCAAAGCTCCATTTGATTACATGTTACTAATTATACCTACCTATATAATTTCAGTGATCTGTAATGAGTTGTGAATGTAAAGGTTTTCATTAATAATACATTCTCAGTTTACCTATGTCCTGAAAATAATAATTCTACTCCCTTCAAACTAATTTTTCTCACAAATTAATTAAGTGTTTGTCCAAATTTATGAAAGAAAATAATATGATGTAAATATTGTGTGTGTGTTATAATTGTTTCCCTATTATGTATCTAATTATCTATTATGTGTTAAGTAATAGTATTATAATTGTAGGTCTATTGACTATATATGTTTACTAACCCTATAGTTTTTGTCCTTTTCAGCTAATAACAACTAAAAATTACCGCAAATTTATAATTCGGTGCACCACTCGACACTGGCAGTATAGTCGACAACATCGTATTGGAGACTCGGTTGCCTATTAAGAAAAAAAAATTCTAAGTGTGAATAAGTATGTACAACACATTCTTTTAAAATTATCATTACACAAGCTTAGTTTAACTCTGAAATAAAATGACTAAACGAACCTTTAGTATATAACTAGTATGTTATGGCAGGAACACATATTTTTATTAATTCGCCGGCAGCAATAAGGCTGTGACGTCGATGTTTTGGCAACGCCGACCGACGTCCGGGGTATGATTGGGCCAATATTGATCACACGAGACCCGGTTTAACCGACAAAACGCTCTTACGTAATTTTTCATCGGTCTTTTAGACCCTTTATATAGCACAGTGTTACCGTTGTACTAATTGATCTAAAAGGCCAGGGCCCATTTTTGGAGCTGACCCCGTTAAATTTTGTACATCTAGAACTCCGAGCGCTCTCATCAACTTTATTAAGCTTAAGCTTTGACCGGGGGTAACTGAAATAAAAAGAAGGCCAGTATGTTCGAGATTCGCAAAGAGAAAACCTACTTATGTGTAGCACCATGCATCATTCACATTTATTTTAAAGTACTATAAAATCAAACAAAGCTCTTGCATAAAGCATGTTTTATAGACATTGGAGCGGTGACGTAATCAAGTGGAATGGAATTGAAATAGCTGCATTAAAGAGAGCAAGCCCCTTTAAAGAACTATTGGATTGAACTGATTCCAACTTTTTTATAGATTTTTTGTACAGACCGTTAAGATTTTACTACGGCAGAGATAACGAATAGTTTCTCGTATTTCTTTAACATTTACTTCGTGAAATTGTTATAAAATCCTCTGAAGAACTATGTTTAAACGAGTTAATAAAACTATCAAAATTGCTGGCTGTGTTACAGGACTTTCGTCCGTAATTGAGAAGCTTACGAAGATGAAATTAAAATCTTGTTTTGTCAA